AATTTTTTAAAATATCATAAATTTTTTATATATAATTATTTTAAATTAATTTATATTTCGAATAATAACGATTCGAACATGAACGAACGCATCACTGTTCGTGTTTGGTTCGTTTAACTAACCGAACGAAAAAAATTTGTTCACGTTCGTCTCGTTTACTTGTCAAACGAACCGAACACGAACTCATTGACGAACCGAACACAAACTGTTCGCGAACAACAAGCTTTTTTGACAGCCCTAATTTAGAGCGTAAAATCACCAAAATTACATCAGCAAATTTTTTTTTTCTTTTTTTTTTTACATTTGAGCAAATTTAAACTCAGTAAAAATACAAAATCTTCAATTTAACATCTCTTAATTGAAAATTTACACTCTCAACCAAGAAATTAAGAAGATGTCATGATAATGATTAATCATGCAGAACACTAAAACAAACTTAACATGAGAAAATATTATGATCCGACGACATATTATAATAATCAGACGTAATATTTTCTCCAATAACACAACCAATTATTGCATCCACGCTCCCTTTAAGTACCATTAGTAGTATCTTAAGTATTATTTGTATTATAATGACTTTATTTTACCAAAATATCACCATAATATCAATCATAAGTGCTAAAATACTATTATTGGAATGTAATAATTTCTCCTAAAACCAACCTCCCATAGCTCAAATCATAGAAAATATAGCATATGATCGTCCATGCACTAACCGCCGGGCGACAGCTCGACATGACCGGGCGCCACCTCAACGTGTAAGCCGAACAACAAACCGGACGAAATATTTTCTCCTCAGATGGGGAGAACAAGAGATGGCAATCTCTTCCCAACGCTCTCCGGAATCCTGCTCCGCCACACGGAACCGCAGCGGCCTCCGAGACTCCTAACGGTGACGGAGGTATTGAAATACTCACGCAGCTGAGTTATCACCCCGTCGGAAACCGTCCAAGCATGGACCCAAAACACGTCGCCGGCGCGATCCGTCCCCTCGGCTATGACTATCGTCCCCACGAGTTCGATGGACTGGATGAGGAATTGAAACCTGTCGTGCTCGCCGGTGAGGAGGCGTTTCATGTGCTGGTGGGAGCGGGGGCCATGGAAGCGCCAGTCGAGATTGGGGGCGAGGAGCTGCTGCACGAGCTCGGGGTCGCGGGCTTCGAGGGCTCCGTAGAGGAGGAGGACGGTCCCCCGGCTGTTCTCCTCGTCGTTCGCCGGCATGATTGGTGGTGGTTCAGTTCTAGTTGGTGGGGATGTGTGGTGTGTGGGGAGGGAAGGTGGGGAGAGGATTGTTTTATGGGGACGGAGAGCGGTGGCAGGGGAAGTCAAAGTCAGCTGCAGGATGATTATTCAATGGTGATTCATATATGGTCTGTTTATAATATGATTAAGGGAGCCATCCGTGGCCGTCTCATTTGGCATGATGGTATCTCTTAGGAAGCTACGATCTGAATTTTTCAAAAAAGGAAAATAATGTAATAATCATCTCAATTTTTTGATGTTTGTCGTTAGGGCTGTTAAAACGGCTCTTCGTGAATAGCTCATGTTCGACTCGTTAAGAAGTTCATGTTCAGCTCGTTAATTTCGTTCGATAAGTTAAA